GAGTGTGAGTAGTAGGAAACCCCGATTAAAAGATGGAAATTATCAGAGTGAATACAAAAAGCATGACTCAATTATATGTTATCTACAAGAAACCCATGTTAAATAGAAAGCCACAGATAAGTTAAATCTAAGAAGATAAAAAACAATATGCCGTCCTTAAACTAATAAGAGAGCTGCAGTGGCTACATTAATGGGAAAAATATGAATTCAGTATAAGAAAAATTATCAGGGATAAAAGGGGAATGATATAATGAGAAAGGGGTCTATTCTCCAAACAGAAAGAAGCTCCCACAATTTTAAATATGAATGCAAGTTGCATTAGTCCAATAAAATATGTGAGGCAGTCAGGCGGGGAGACTACCACCTCTGTGATATTAGAGAACAAAGAGCATTATACCAATTTACAACAGGAGTACAGATACACATGTTCCTTGGGTCACAGCTGTCCTTTTCAGAACCACAAGCTAAACTAGTGAAGCTCTGCCCCTGCCAAGAACACCTGCGGCGGCAGCACAGGGAGCTCCCTCCTCTGCAGTGCAGACAACACGAGGACATTAGGATTATGAACACCAAGGGAATCATGACACCTGTACCACCCAAGAAGGTAATAAAGCTCCAATAACAGACCCAGAGAAATAACTATCTATGAAATGACCAAAAAATAAATTAGCAGAATAAAGGGAGGATCGGTGAACTGAAAGAATATACAGACATTAAATTAATAAAATTTAGAAAACAACACAGAAAAAGCAAGATTAAACAAAAATTAGAAACAATATGATAAGAAAAAATAGCATAAATCCCAGAGATGAAGAGTGCAAGTGATACAGAGCAGGGGGCACCCCTCTTGGTCAGCACCAACCACCTGGTGGACCTGCCAAGCCCTCTGCATTTCCACCCTGGGTGTTGGCACAGCAGACAGGACAGAGAGGCAGAGCTGGAGAACCAAGTGTGGGGGACAGGGAGAGTGGGCAGAAGCCTGTGGGTCCCTAGTTAGTTGAGGGAGACCACAGCACAGCCCACCCTGTGCCAACCCCAGAACCACCCTTGGATCTAGAGAGCCCTCCTCTGGCTGCACTCCTCCCATGTGAGCACTCCAGAAGCCTAAGGGTGATACAGGGTTCCCCATTTCTTAGGCCTCGACAATTTCATGAATGGACTGTATCCATTCATTGATGTATTCATTCACCTTGCCCCCACCAGAAGGGACTGTGTCCATTCATTAATGCATTGATTCATCTTGTCCCAGTGCAAGGGACAGTATCCATTCATTACCAAGTCCTGGCCAAATGTAACTACAAAGAACCCATGTGACTATATACACCCCTAGACAAACAGCCTGGGCAAAGAGGAGATTTTCTGACTTAAGTTTTTCCCTCTGCCAGGAGCTCTGGTGCTTTTTCTGTATTCTTTTCTGTAAAATAAATCCTGTCTTACTAGTGATCTGTGGTCCGTGGATTTATTCTTCAAATCCCAAGACCAAGGACCTACTTAAGAAGAAATTCCAGTAAAACAAAGATTAAACTGAAAAAGTCAATAAAACTTTCAACAAAAGAATCAGTGAAGCAGAAGAAAGAATTAGTAAACTGGAACACAGAACATCTGATATTACTTACTCAGAGAGACAAAGAGACAAAAGAATGTAACAGAATGAAAAAAGACTACAGGAATTATGGGACGCCACAGAGACATCAAATTTTTGAATAATATACATTGCAGAAGGAGAAGAAAGTAAAATAAAGCTAGACCACATATTTAAAGAACTAATAAATGGGGGCTTTTCTAATCTGGGGGTAGATGCCAACACACATACAGGAAGCACAGAGGTCTCTAATCAAATTCCACCCAGACTGGAGTATACCAAGATTATAAGAAACTATCAAAATCAAAGACAAGAAAGTTTTTGAAAGCGGCAAAAGAAAACACATCCCATACAAAGTAGCGTCAATATGACTGCCAGCAGATTTCTTAGCAGAAAGTCTAAAGCCAAGCTGGAGTGGAATGATATACTCAAACCACACAAGGGAAAAAGTGCCAACTTTTTATATGGACTATGCAAATTAATTGACAAAACTATAAAATAATAATTATAATAATTTATTCAAGGATATGTCATATAAAAATGTAAACTGTGACATTTAAAAAGAAAACAAAAATGGTGGGATTATGATTAAAGTTCAGTTATTACCAGCCTAAAATAATTTGTTACATCCCAAAGGTGTTTTTACAAGGTTCATGAGAGCCACAAAACAAAAACTAATAATATTTATACTCAAAATAAGAAGCAAGGAATCAAAATATACTGAAAAGTGTAAGCAGTGGTGCTCAGAGAAGAGACTGAGTGGAGGTGTTCAGGCCAGGTTTATTGAAAGGGGAAGGTGACCTGACTGGGCAGTGCAAATGTGGTGTCTGCATTGTGGGGGTAGTCAGAGACCTGTTTATGGAACTGACACTGGAATTATGGTGTCTGCACTGCGGGGGTAGTCAGAGACCTATTTATGGAGCTGTCAAAATGTCACCAGAATTTTGACTTCAGTAGGTTCTTGGCCTCAGTGATTTGAAGAATGAATCCACAGAGTACAGATCAGTGGTAAAATGGGATTTATTGTACAGTAAAGAATACAAAAACACCAAAGGTCCTGGCAGAGAGAAAAAAACCAAGTGTGTGTGGGGAAGCTCTCTCTCTGGGCTTTTTGTCCAGGGGTATATATAGTCTCATGGGTCTTTTGTAGTTAAATTAGGCCAGGACTTGGTAACGAATAAATAGATACAGTCCTCTTTCAGCTGAGACAAGATCAATGAATACATTAATGAATGGATACAGACTCTTTCATTCCCAGGCCTAGGAAATTTACATGAAATTGACCAATCCTAGGAAATAGGGGGTTTCTTGTTCAGCCACAAATGCAAAGGGAGGGAGACACTAAGGCACTGGTGTCTCCCCAGCAGTTGTCTGGCCCCTCTGACTTCCTGGAGCCTCCTGCGTACCTCCCCCCACCAGCCTGCTGGTTCTTCTGCCAGCTGCTGCTGCACCAACACCACTACAGTGGAGGTGGCAGGTTCCCTCCTCAGCTCCACAGAGCTGGCTGAGGTGCCACCATCCTGTATCAGAGTCACAGGTGGGCAGATTCCACAGCTTGGCTGTCTAGTTACAGTTCTTTGGCATAAACTTGGGGGTGGAGGTGGGCTAAACAGATACTTTGTGTCTTTGTCTTAGGAGAAGTGTGGAGGGGAGAGGGTTCTTGTGTAGACATTATATTAAATAGAAGAAGCCAAAACACAAATACTGCATGATCTAACTTATACTGTATATGGAATATAAAATAGGTTGATCTCATACAAGCAGAGAATAGAATAGTGTTTACTAGAGAATGGGGAGGGAAGGAGATAGGAGCATTGGTCAGGGGCTACCAAGGTGCAGCTGGACAGAAGAGATAAATAAGTCCTGGTGTTCTACTGTATGGCAAGATGACTGTGGCTAACGATATTGAATTATACATTTCCAAATAGCTAGAAGAGATTATCTTGAATTTTCTTACCACAAACAAATGATTAATATATGAATTGATAGACATGCTAAATACCCTTTCTTTTTAGACAATGTGTGCACGTATTTAAACACCACATGGTGCCACATGGCTATGTACAATTCTGTGTCAATTAAAGTAAAATATATGTGAGACAAAAATTGATAGAGGAATAGACAAGGCAAAATAGACAAATCCACATTATATTTGGAAGTTTCACCACCCTCAGTCAGCCACTGATATTTCAACAGGCAAATAATCACTAAGGATAGTACTTTATATCAGCTTGATCTAATTGATATTTATAAAAATACTTCATCCAGCAACAGCATAACACACAGTTTTCTCAAGCTCACAAGAAACTTTTACCAAGGCAGACTATTGTGAGTAATAACACACAAATTAAAAATAAATAAATTTTGGACAGTGCCTGTGGCTCAAAGGAGTACGGTGCTGGTCCCATATATGGGAGGTGGTGGGTTCAAACAAGGCCCCGGCCAAAAACTGCAAAGTATAAATAAATAAATGAATAATAAATTTCAAATAATAGAAATCAATCAAAGTACATATGATCATAACAGAATTTATTATAATATAATTAAACTGGAAATAACACAAAGCTGAGAAATCATGAAGAGTTGCAAAATTAAACAAAGTATTTCCAAAAGTCCTGTAAGTAAAAGAAGACTAAATAGAAAAATATATATACAGAAATAATCAGTATCAGAAAGGAAAGATGGATCAACCTTACCAATGCCATCAATATAACGATACTATATAAATAATAAAAATAATTCTGTGCTCAAAGATTTTTTAAATCAGCTTAAACAGCATTAGAAATTGACAAACTAATCTTACACCTTTCACAAAATTTACATCAAAATTGATCACAGACCTAAATTTAAAGGCAATAGCATAACATTCCTAGAATAAAATATGGAAAAGTTAGTGATCATGAATTTATCCAATAATTTTCATATACAACACCAAAATTTTAAACTGTGAAAGAAACTTGAAAATCATACTTTATTAAAATTTAAAACTTCAATGTATTTATGATCTATGTACGAATGACTTAATTTAAAAAAAAGAAAAAAAAAAAAAGAACTACAAAGAAAAGCCACCTGATGAAATAAATATTTACTAACCTATGTATCTGAAAAGACTTGCAGCTTACCCAGCATGGCCGGCGACCTTAGCTAGCGCTCGTTCTGCTCTCTAAGGGGGAAGCAGCGGACTACAAGACACTGAACTGTATCTGCCTCTATTTCCAACAGACTCACGTTCAACTTTCGCTCACAAGAAGAAGCCAGGGAAATTTTATTAGTCCCTTTAAAAAAAATTAATATAAAATTATAGCAAAAAAGGAACCTGAACTTTAGTAACACAGCTGGAACAATCCGCAACTGCGGGAGAGGAGGTTTAATTTAGTTGATTTTCTGTGGTTGCTGGTTGTTCACTAGTCTCACGGTGATGCAAGCTGCACATTTTTTTGAAGGGACGGAGAAGCTGCTGGAGGTTTGGTTCTCCCTGCAGCAACCTGATGCAAACCAAGGATCTGGGGATCTTCGCACTATCCTGAGATCTGAGTGGGACATACTTTTGAAGGATGTGCAATGTTCAATCGTAAGTGTGACAAAAACTGACAAGCAGGAAGTTTATGTACCAGTGAGAGTAGCATGTTTGTCTCCAAGAGACGTTTCATTCTGAAGACACGTGGTACCACCCTCTTGCTGAAAGAACTGGTTCCCCTGTTGAAGCTTGCTAGGGATTACAGTGGGTTTGACTCAATTCAAAGCTTCTTTTATTCTCATAAGAATTTCATGAAGCCTTCTCACCAAGGGTACCCACACCAGAATTTCCAGCAAGAAATAGAATTTCTAAATTCAATTTTCTCGAATGGAGCAGCACATTGTATGGGACGTATGAATTCTGACTGTTGATACTTGGAGACTCTGGATTTCCCAGAGAGTCGAGTGATCAGTCAGCCAGATCAAACCCTGGAAATTCTGATGAGTGAGATTGACCCAGCAGTTATGGACCAGTTCTACATGAAAGATGGTGTAACTGCAAAGGATGTCACTCATGAGAGTGGAATTCTTGACCTGATACCAGGTTCTGTCATTGATGCCACATTGTTCAAAGCTTGTGGGTACTCAATGAATGGAATGAAATCAGAAGGAACTTATTGGACTACTCACATCACTCCAGAACCAGAATTTTCTTACATTAGCTTTGAAACAAACTTAAGTCAGACCTCCTATGATGACCTGATCAGGAAAGTTGTAGAAGTCTTCAAGCCAGGACAGCTTGTGACCACCTTGTTTGTTAATCAGAGTTCTAAGTGTCACACAGTGCTTTCTTCACCCCAGAAGATTGAAGGCTTTAAACATCTTGATTGTCAGAGTGCTACACTAAATGATTACAATTTTGTTTTTACCAGTTGTGCTAAGAAGCAGCAATAACAGCAGAGTTGATAAAGAAAAATGAAGAAAAAACGCAAAAAGAAAACACATGTAGAAGGTGGTGGCTGCTTCTTAGATGTTAATATGGGGGGGGGGGGCATGCTTTCCATAACCACCACCTTGTAGTTGCAGAAAGCCCTAGATGTAATGATAGTGTGATCATTTTGAATTGTATGCATTATTATATCAAAGAGTCAGATATCTTGCATGAATGCTCTCTTCTGTGTTTAGGTATTCTATGTAGAGAAAACCTTTTACTGTATGAAACTTTACAACACTTGTGAAAACAATTCAGTTTGGTTTATGTAGTGTCATATTTCTCCAGGTATCCTCCAAAATTCCCAACAGACAAGGCTTTTGTCCTCATTAGGTGTTGGCCTCAGCCTAACCATCTGGGACTGTTCTTTTAAATTGCTGCCAGAATTTTATACCCAGTTACCTCCACTTTCTAGAACTTATTCTTTACTAATGTTACTGGGACAATTTCTACTTCATAGAGGTGTTTTTTGCAATAGCAGTTAAAATTTTTCTTCTACAAGTTGGGTCCTCTTAAAGTGATTCCAGTTACTTATTTTGCATATTACTATTTTAAAATTATTTGTTTGTGCATTTATACTTCTATAATTGATTTCTTCACTCACCATGGTGTCTCCCCCAAGTCCTCCAAATAAAGCAATACACTGTCAACACTGGGGGTTTATATAAATCTTACACCGCAGGTGGGGAAAAGGGGAGATAGTCTTTGGGCTTATCTTTTAAGGGCATGGGAATTTGGCCTCCTTTTTATTGATATGGATTCTTTTGGATGACAGTCACAAAATAAACTTCTCCAGTGCTGATCAGCAAGGAAGACCCACAGAGAATTATAGGTGGAGATTAGGGTGTATTGGGTGAACTGTGGAAATCATATGTAATTCTGTACTCATCAGGAAATGAGATTAGCCTTTACTTGCTAAGTAGTAAATCAAGGGTTTTTATTACTAAGATGATTACCAAGAAAGTTTAGCATGAAGTTTATACTAGATTCAGTAAGTCAGGTCAGCTTGGATCATTGATGTTAACTTTACTTTAGCAGCCACTTCCACTAATAATATACTGTAAACTTTCGTTCAAAGCAAAATCAATGTCTTTTTCATCTTGTGACTTCAAGTTCTGTGAGTTTGTGATGCATGTGAGTGTTTTGACTGCCTGTGTTCTCTAAGTATGTTTTTCTGTTACCATGGAATTCATCGTCTCAAATGAACAACTGCGTAGAATGAGAATCATCCAGGTTATTCAGATAAACACCATGAAGCAGAATATATGAATGAGTGAATAAATAATAAAACATGCTAGATTCTAAAATACTTAGTGTGAAATGACTAAAATAGAGGCTTTCAAGACTCGGCATCTTTTAACTATATTTGCAAATACTGTGGGATGTAAGCAACTAAGCGAACAGCAAAGCTGATGAAATTTTATATTTCTTCTTACTATATTTTGATAATTACTGTATTGATATAGTGATGTTTTGTAACTTCCACATTTATAAATGAAACACCTTTTTTTAGTGTTTCTAAATATAAAATCTACTTGGTTTGAAATCACGTGGAACACTTTTGACTTATTTTAAGCATGATGATTGAAAGTTTCATTGAGGAAGTTTTCAGTCAGTGTGATCAGTTTGATTCTGTAATGAGCATAGCACCTAATGTTTTGGGGTGTTCTGTTTTGAGGACCAATGCTCAAAGTGATTTTGTTCTTGAACAGTATCCCAGTAGATCTGATTGTTGGCTTAAAGTCTGATTTTTTTCTCCTAACAGATTTAGGAATTCTAATTGAAAACCTGCACATTTGTGTGGAACAAAGCCTAGAAAAGAGAAAACTAGATTGAATGATAATCTAAATTAATCTTAGCATGAGAGAGGAAGGAATGTTTTGGTGCCATGATTTCTCCCTTCTTGGTGTTGGACTTAAATCAGTTGAAATGTATTTCTGTATCACAATTTAAGCTTCAATAAAAGTTTAATTGTCTAGTGACATAAAAAAAAAATACTTGCATCCAAAATATACAAAGGACACTTAAAAATAACCAAACAAAACTCCACTTAAGAAATAGTCTAAAGACTTGAACAGATGGCTCACCAAAGAATATAAATAGATGACAACAAACATATGTAAAGATCCTCAGTAAGCACTGTTGATCATGAAAGAATTGCAAATTTGGATAACATTGATGTACATCTATTAAAATGGCTAATTTCACGTTAGCCTGTAGTCCCAGCTGCTTCGGAGGCTGAGACCAGAGGATCATTTGAGCCCAGTTTGAGACTTTGAGATGGCAGTGAGTTGTGATGACACCACTGCACTCTATCCCAGGCAACAGAGTGAGTTCTTGTCATAAACAAACAAACAAACAAACAAACAAAACTAATATCTAAAAAGGTAGAAATAAAATGCTGCTGAAAATACAGAGGTAATGGGATCCTCATTCTGTTGGGAATGCAAAACTGCATAGTCACTTATGATCTGACAAATTCTTACAAAGCTGAATATAATCTTTGATCCAGAAATTGCCTTTCCAGGTATTCATGCAATGATTTATAAACTGTCTACAAAGAACCTGTACACATATGTTTACTGCAACTTATTCATAGAAAGTATTGTCAATAGATTAAGTGAGGTTCATCCATACAAAGAAATCTTATTCAGCAATAAAAAGAATGAGCTCTCAAGCAAAGCAAAGATAGGGATAAATACTAAATTAATATTGTTAAATTAAAGAAGCCAATCTTAAAAGGCTACACACTCTATCCTTCTAATTATTTGACTCTCTAGAAAAATCAAACTATAGAGATAGTAAAACAAACAGTAATTGCTGGAGTCACCTGTCAGAGGGAGGAATAGGTAAAGCAAAGATTTTTTATGCAATAAATCTATACTGCAATGGTAGATGCATAATATCTCTCCAAACTAATAGAAACTTAAAGCACAAAGAGTAAAGCTTAATGTGTGAAATTTTAAAAATAAATTATTTAGAAAGTTGAGGAAATTTCATCCTAAGATGAAATGTAGAATTTAATTCTAAAATGAGATGCAGAATGTGACAAAATAATTCATTGTGTTGCAAATTTATGAAACCACTTACTGTAGGTGGTGCAGGGAAAAGGTAATTTTCTAAGTAACTCTGGAAATGAGTTAAGTCCATAAGACTAAAGACTCCAGCAACTTCACTGCACATCACATTGTAATCTAGTTGAGAAGCAGTTTCCCAGGGGTATAGGTTAATGGTTCTGATACTGGTTTCTCTTGTGTGAGAACTAAACTATTAAATAAATAGTTTTGGATGGGGAAAACAGTTTTCTCACTGTTGGCATGGGAATTTACAGGTAAGCAAAGGTCTCTAAGTGGCAGAGGATTAGAGCTGCAGTATCTGAACTCACGTTAGGTTTAATGATGATAGATGGCTGCATACAAGGCATTACATGTGTATTACACATATGGTTTAGTAGATATATGTGCATTTTTGTGCATCTAAAATAAATGATGTATCAGTAGCAATTAGCACTCTAGTACCAAAATTTTGGTTTCTACTATGTAAAGCCATTCTCTGATCAAAAGAACAAGGGCTGTTTGGGAAACATGGCTAGTTCTCCTACTGGGGAAGATTATGTACAAGATGGACTTGAAAATAATTGTAGTTGCAAAAAGCAAGGGAGTGCTAAAAAAAAAAAAGGAAAAGATTTTTAAAAAGAAAGAAAAGAGAGGGGTAAACAGGGAGGGGAGAAGAAGGATGGAAAGGAAAGGAAAATAATAAAGGAAGGAAATAAGGAGACCGCATTTGCCTCTGGCAGTGCACTGGCGAGCATAGAATCATTGATGAAAGAGCCTTTCAAGAATCATTGATGAAGGAGCGACCAGAAGCCAAATAATAATTTAAACAACCAAATCAATAAAATATCATTGGGTCATAAACCCAAAGTGTAAAAGAAACATGTGAGTTTATACTCATATAATAAATACAAAAAAATAATAAATTTACACAAATTTTTGGTAAAACTGGATTCAGCAAGGCATCCTAAGTCAAGGCTCGATCAAGAAGGCTTAAAAATCTACCTAAAGTTTGGTGAAGGAGAGAGTTTTTGCCATAGGCTTCCAGGAATCCCTTGTACTATTGTCTTGACTTTTCAGTAAATCTAAAACTCTTGTTATAATTTGTCTATTAAAACAACAAATAAACCCCCTACAAAGAAAAAAATCTACAACAAAAGAGCTGTTCAAAGACAAAGGGGCTACTTAGGATACAGGGAGTCCGCAGCTACTGATAGGGCCCGGAGGCCTTGGGAGCTGGCCAAGCCCAGGGAGACCTGGCGTCTGCCTCCTCCCCGGAGTGTTGTGTGGCACCAGGGAGGAACCAGGGGTTGGAGGATAAGGGTGGCACAGGAGACTCCAGTGGCCGGAGGGGCACACAGCTCCGGGAGCGCGGTGGCATGTCCCTCCCCTTGCACTTGCTGCTAAATCGGATACCGACTTTCCCAGGTCAGGTAATTTCATGCACGTTTCCTAGGCTTAGGAAGCCCTGACATTTTACCTCTAGCAAAGGGATTGTAGCCATTTATTTCTTAGGCTAATACATACACCCTATGCAAAGGACCCAGGGAGAGATTTTTTTCTCACTTGGTTTCTCCCTGTGCCAGAAGATCTGGTGCTTTTTCTTTTCTTTTCTTTTCTTTCTTTTTTTTTTCCTGTAAAATAAATCCTGTCTTACCACTGATCTGTGAGACTCCTTCTTCCAATCCCGAGACCAAGAACCTACTGAAGAAGAAATTCCAGTAACACTGTTTCTGGGTGTTAGTTAGGGTTAGTCATCACTGCTCACAGAAATGCAGAAAGGGAATTAAAGCTTTTTTGTGGTAATTGATCTCATCCAACCCAAAGATTCTAAAACATTATGTTTCTGCCTTTTTCAGCTACCCAGAAAGTAGCAGGTAGGAGAACATTATTTGTCTTCAGTTGATACC